GCGAATAAGTAAAAGGTTCCTGTTCCTCCGCTTGTAGAGGCGCCTCAAAAGTCAAAACACATTTAACAGATTGGTGAGGAGAACAACAAGTAAAAGGTTCCTGTTCCTCTGACTTTTGAGGCACGCCCTGAGTTACCATCAGCAGCAGAGCTGCTGCAGCAGCATAATCCCCCGAGGGGGAAATGCTTAGGGTTTAGGGTTATCCCCACGCTCTTTTGAGACGACTTGTGAGGCGCCTCAAAAGTCTTAATCCCCCGAGAGGGAAATGCTTGCCTCAGAAAGCTTCAAGAAGAGTTTTGAGACGTCTCAAAACTTCAAGAAGAGAAGAACACGTACAGGTTGGTGAGGAGCACGACTAGCAAGAGGTTGCGATTGCGCCGTGTGTCAAGGCGAGAAGCATGGCACCAGTGCGTCCCTCCGTGCAGCAGAGCGAAACCCTGAGCCACCACCAGAAGCAGCGTCGCTGCAGCAGCGTAGCCCCCCGAGGGGCTGCTGGGGTAGATGCAGTGAAGGGCGTTCTGTACGTCGAGCATGTGAGTGGATGACTGCTGGCGGGGGGGAGATAGAGGGGGGGGAGGCGGAAGAGGGGGAAAGAGGGGCGGAGCAGGGGGGATACATGAGGGCTGCTGGGGTAGATGCAGTGCAGCGCGTTCTGTGCGTCGAGCATGTGAGTGGCGGACTGCTGGCAAGGGAAGGGGGGAAAGAGGGGAGATGGAGATGGAAAGAGGGGGTTGCATGAGTGAGGCTGCTGCAGCAGCGTAACCCCCCGAGGGGCTGCTGGGGTAGATGCATTGCAGCGCGTTCTGTGCGTCGAGCATGTGAGTGGCGGACTGCTGGCAAGGGGGGAAGAGTGAGCGCGTGGAGGGGGGGGGTGGGATGGCGGGAAGGAGGGTGGGGTGGGATGGCGGGAAGGAGGGGCGGAGTGTGGGAGATAGAGGGGATACATGAGAGGTGCTGGGGTAGTAGATGCAGTGAAGGGCGCTCTGGCGGAACTGCTGGCGGGGGAAGAGGAGGGGAGGGGAAGGGGAAGGGGAGGGAGAAGGGGAGGGAGAAGGGGAAGGGGAAGGGGAAGGGGAAGGGGAAGGGGAAGGGGAAGGGGAAGGGGAAGGGGAAGGGGAAGGGGAAGGGGAAGGGGAAGGGGAAGGGGAAGGGGAAGGGGAAGGGGAAGGGGAGCGGAAAGGGGAGGCGAAGGGGGAAAGTATCGCTGTGCATTCGCAAATCGCCCATTGTGCCAAGCCGTGGGGAGCGGAAATGACCTACTGTGCCCACTGTGCATGCCGTAACGAATCAACGATCCTGAGGAACCATGACTATATCGAAGACGCTTTTGAGAATTCTTAAAAGCGACTGCAGCATTGCGACCCGCCGCGCGGAGAGGAAAAAGACCGTACCTGTCCTAACGGTCGAGGGCCTAAGGAACCATGGTGTCGCATGCTAACAAATAGGAATCGGAAGTGAACAGTAATGAACGATAATGAACGGCTGCGAGCGGCCGCGATCGGTAAAGCATGGTACCGAACGGCTGCGAGCGCATAACGAACGTTTCTAAGCGTGACGTCACCCTTGGCTCATCGCTGGACGTCTCACCTTCACGCGCATGACGTCAGCGGCTAGTGTCATCGCCAACGCGAGCCCGCCAACTACGGCGATGAGCACCACCACCCACTGCTGTGCCTTAGGTGGCGGGGATGCCGCTGATGGCGACACGGTTCCTGGTGAGGCTCGCGTCGGGCTTCCTGATTCTCCGGCGTAGGATGCGGACGAAGCGGTGCCATCCTCGGTGGTGGTTGCGACTGGCTGGTAGTCGTGGCGCGTTGACCAGAACATGGCGGTCGCTGCGATATCAGGGTTTCGCTACTGTAAACGAAAACAACAAACTAAGTATAAATATAGATGAATCCTGGGCTGAACTTGAAACCTGGAACCTGTCAAGTTGGTCTTAATGGGATCTGTAGGCCGGAGAGTGCTGCGGTTGCACAGTGGTTGATGCTGATGCAGCCATCAACTGCCGTCCTGAGTCTGACAAGTATTGCTCATATGGAGAAATGGAGCGTGAAAAGCGGAAAAAGAGTGTGAGAGAGGGGGAAGATGTGGTGTTTGGGCCTTCTCAGAATCGAAACCACTTTGTAACCCACAATATCCAACTTCAACATTTGTTTACCGTCTTCAATCGTTCTTACTCCACCACCAGGTAGATTCGAAACGGATTTATCGGGCTCGTCAGCTTTGGGCAGCTGATTGTTTCGGGGGTGCATTGGAGGGGACGGTGTTGACGAATGGTTTACATGGTAATCTGTGTTTCAAGGAGTTTAGGTACGGTACAGTGCGTTAAGCTTTCCAGATCACCCAGTCATTGTAGCACACCCTTTTCTGGTGCAGCTTTCACATCCACGAATGGTATTCAGTGGGTGCACAGATGGTTACGGATGTGAAGTGCTCATTTCGCTTGTTCGTTATGGGCTTGTAACGAGAACACCACAAATACTTACACACACTGAAATTGCTTGCCAAGTATAGGAGAGAAATGCTCCAGTGCCTTGTTTGGTGATTCGCTCTTGCCCACGTGTCCCCGAATTGCTCGAGTGGCCATCCAATTCAGTGATAATTGCTCGAGTGGCCATGCCAGGGCATTTTCGAGGTGTTTTTTTTCCCTGGCACATAACCCTACAAGGGTTCGTACCCCCGAAATTCCTCGTTCGCACAATAGTAGATGCGCGGTCATTTTCGGCCCAATACGCGACCAATGAGCGCGTGGGCAATTACATCAGCGATCATAAACTGCAACGCCAGAGCATAAATGTACGAACATATTATTGATCGCGCACGATTGGTCGATAATATGCTTCTTGCCCTTTTTGGCAATGCGCGTCCAATCACGCACGGTCATATAATTCACGACCATATATTTAGGCGATAAAGGGTCGCCCAAAAACCAATATGAGCGCGCATATACTACCATTAGTTATATCATATGTCCGGTCCATATAAAACCATGTATATCAAATGTCATAAATATATTATCTGCTATTAATTTAAGCCCATCATACTATACATAATATTGTATCGTGGCCTATCATAATATTAATTTAAGTCCATCATACCGTGGTCCATAATATTGTATTGCCGGTAATATGGTTGCATAAATAATATATTCGGCAGCATAATATTAATTTAAGCCCAGAATAATATGTTGCCACCACGGTTATGATGGGCTTAAATTAATAGCAGAGAATATATTTATGGCATTTGATATACATGGTTTTATATGGACCAGAAGTATGATAGAACTAATGGTAGTATATGCGCGCTCATATTGGTTGTTGGGTGACCCTTTATCGCCTAAATATATGGTAGTGAATTATATGACCGTGCATGATTGGACGCGCATTGCCAAAAAGGGCAAGAAGCATATTATCGACCAATCGTGCGCGGTCAATAATATGTTCGTGCATTTATGCTCTGGCGTTGCAGTTTATGATCGCTGATGTAATTGCCCACGCGCTCATTGGTCGCGCATTGGGCCTAAAATGACCGCGCATCTTCTATTGTGCGAACGAGGAATTTCGGGGGTACGAATCCTTGTAGGGTTATGTGCCAGGGAAAACAAAACACCTCGAAAATGCCCTGGCATGGCCACTCGAGCAATTATCACTGAATTGGATGGCCACTCGAGCAATTCGGGGACACAAGGGCAAGAGCGAATCACCGAACAAGGCACTGGAGCAATTCTATCCAAGTATAGACTCTTGGGCTGGGTGAGTTTGTGTGTGTTGTCGTGTGTCACCTTTAGCTGATTTGTATTTTTGCAGCATAGGTCAGGAGTAGACCGATTTATATTAGACCAATTCACGTTCCGATGCGGGTTTCCGGCATTCAACGCGAGATCTTCTCTCTCTACCGCCGCCTGTTACGCGTAGCACGATCGAAACCACCCGCGGAATCGGCGGCTTTGCGCGCGTACCTAACGTCGGAATTCAGACGAACTGCGAATTCCGTCGGACGGACGGAGATCGGGCGTATTGAGTACCTTCTCAGACGCGGGGAAAAGCAGGTGGATATGTTAACGAGTCCGTCTACAACGGGGATTTCACTGCCACAGCTGCACCAACCCCCCGCTCCGACGAATCCTGAGTCCGATCATTCGCCAAAATCCCGCTAGTTTTTATTAGCACCCTGACGATCCAAAGCCGAGGCAGCACGAGCAGCAGGAGCCGGAACAGCAGGAGTAGCAGCAGCACCAGCAGAATGTTTTTAGGAAAAGGAAAGCATGATTTGTGTGAATTCGTGCCTTACAGCTCGTGCTCTTGTTAGTGTTGCTGGGTCTTTCAAGCCCTCTGATGCTTCCTCACCACTGCTGTAGACTAGACGTCGTTGGAGTGGATGCTTCCACATTCCTACCGTACTAGAACCATACCAGTAGCAGCCACGCTGTTTATTCCTTTCCTAAAGTGGTGTACTATCGTAAGATGTACCGAATACTTGCATTGCATGCATTCATGAGCAAGTGGCACCCTTCTGCAAAGCGATATTACCAATACAACAGACATTACTTTCATTTCCACAAGAAACTGCCATCCCGCAACAACCTAGCCAAGTCTGTATTTATAGGCAAGAAGAAATCCTGTAGCGCTTCTCTAGTTGTGGGGTGCATTTTCTGCCCCTTCCCCTGCTCTTGCTCTCGGGCACCCACGACTGCTTTATTCGCAACATCTCTCCACGTGTCATCTGAGATTTTATCGATTTCTTCTGAAGGAACTTCAAGGAACCTCATGGCTTGAATGATGTGTAGCTTCGGGTTGGATACATAGTCCTCAAACTTTATAAAGAGGAAGTTCTTCCGAGGATAGACTTCCAGCCAGTCCTGCCAAAGTCCAAGCAGGAGAGGGAGATGAGGGAGTGACAACAGAGGAAAGGGGGTGTCAGGAGAAAAAGTCAGCATACCATACATGCTGCAAAACACATGGGGGAAGGAATGAGGTACAGGGCGGTGGCGCATCAACTTACCGATAGGCAGTAGGCACATGTGGGGGAAAGGAGGGCATGGAGGAGGGGGATGAGGGAAGGGAGCTGTGACGACTTACCGATAGGAAGTAGGCATACATGCTGCGGCACACATGCGGGAAGGAGTGGAAGAGCAGGCGGGAGCAGTAGACAGGGGAATGGTCCACCATACACCCTTTAATTGCGGGTAACACCGCATCTACGTGCTGTGTAAAGGCGTCCGCTGCAGTGCTACTGCTGTCGCTGCTGTCGAAGGTGATGTGAGAATCGTCTTGCTGCTTAGCAGACAGGAATGAAGAGAACCACCTGGTAGGAATTGCACAAGGAAAAGGAGAGGAAAAAAAAAGAGAGAGTAGTTTCTGTTTTCCTATGTCCCACCGTCTTACACTGCTAGTGTGCTTGTTTCAACTATCCAGGAGAGGCGTGTTCCAGGAGGAGACAGGTGCAAGGAGACTGCAAGGTGCAAGGAGACTGCAAGATGCAAGGAGCCGATTTTTGAGATGACTCAAGAAGAGTTCCAGGAGGAGACAGGTGGATTTTTGAGTCAACTCAAAAATTGACTTATCACACCAGGAGGAGACAGGTGCAAGGGGTCATGGCATTGCTAGCACGACTGTGCATGCAAAAAACAAAAAAGACAAAGAAAAAATGCGATTTAATGGCCTACGTTTGGACTTTTTTTTTCTCTTTTTTTTTTTTGAAGGGAATGGACTGACCGGTGGATGGGGTTGCGGAGCAGCACGATGAAGCGCGCATGGGGGAGCAGTGAGAAGATTAATTCCGGCAGCAGGAAGCTGCGTGCGTGGGGCCCGCGGGCAAGAATGCCCGAGTGGGTGAGCAGCGAGGGGGTCACCTCCCCTGCTATGGCGGTTGGGTGGGTGGCTATGTGCGCTGCTGCTGGTTGGAATTTGCCAGTGTACCAGTCTAGAGGGTCGTACTCCCTCATGTCCCACCTGGTTAAGGCACAGATGCACAAATGCACACATGGAAACACACACACACACATGAGAAGATTGCAGTGAGTGGGTGGCTATGCGCGCTGCTGCTGGTTGGAATTTGCCCGTGTACCAGTCTAGGGGGTCATACTCCCTCATGTCCCACCTGGTGAAAGCTGACACACACACACGTACACATGCAAACACACACACATTAGAAAATTGCTGCTGGATGGGTGGCTATGTGCGCTTCTGCTTGTTGGAATTCGCCCATGTACCAGTCTAGGGGGTCGTACTCTCTCATGTCCCACCTGGTCAGGCACACATACGCATGGTAGGGGGCAGAACAAGGAAAGGAAACAAGATGCTCACACATGATTGGGGTGGGATGGGTGGCTATGTGCGCTGCTGCTTGTTGGAATTTGCCCCGTGTAACAGTCTAAGGGTTCGTACTCCCTCATCTCATGTCCCACCTGGTGAGACCAGTAAGATGAGTTGCACACAATGAGTGACACACCCACAGACAGACACAGACACACACAGAGGCCGAGGCAAATGTGTGGCATGCCATGCCACATGGGCAAGCGCAAGGGCACGGGCAAAGGCAAGGGCAAAGGCAGAGGCGAAAGGAAAGACTGACCATTCAACGTTGACCAGAGAGGCAGGCGGCAGAGCAGTCGGATGGGCCATGGTCAACAGATGAAAGAAGGTGGATAGAGCATGGGATGAGGTGTTAAGGGAGCAGCGAGGGCAGAAAGGCATCGAGGGAGTATAGAGGTGGAAAGGGAAGACTGACCATTCAGGGTTGACCATCGAGGCAGGCTGCAGAGCAGTCGGATGGGCCATGGTCAATCGATGAAAGAAGTCTTGAGCACCACTCCTGGTAGCAAAACAAACGGGCAGGGGACATGTTTGGCATGAAGTGAAGGGTGGGGTTGGGCAGGGAGATGTGAATGGGAGGACAAGACATGGGTCATGTTCAGCCGATGAAAGAGGAAAGGGGCCGTGGGACTGATAGTGGATGCAGTTTTGGCTGAAGGGAAAGAGGCCGTGGGGTGATTGCTGCTCATCTGTGCATAGTCCTTGGAAATGCTGCTCCTCTATGCCATGTGTACCTGAAGAGAAGAGACAGACCATGCGTACCTCATAGCCCCGATAACCAGGAAGAAAGGCAAGCAGTGAAACCCAGAGCCGTCCTTCCAGCAGGGGTTGCGGAATGATGGATCGAACCCTGACTGAGGCAGCTGGGAGAACCACTCCCCTGCCACCTGCATGATCTCTCCCCTGTGGTGCGGCAGGGCTACAGTCGCCCCAGTCGCCCCTGTGGTGCTCGTTGTATATCACCGGAAACAAGGGTTCGAGCTGGGGAGGGTTCCTACCTCATAGCACCGATAACCAGGAAGTAAGGCAGGCAGTGAAACCCAGAGCCGCCCTTCCAGCAGGGGTTGCGGAATGATGGGTCGAACCCTGAGTGGGGCAGCTGGGCGAACCACTCCCCTGCCACCTGCATGATCTCGCCCCTGTGGTGCTCGTTGTATATCACTGGAAACACAGACCCCCCTCCTCCTTCTCCTCCTCCTCGTCCTCCTCCTCTCCCTCCCCAACCTCCCCATGCTCCTCCTGTTCTTCCTCCTCCTCCTCCTGTTTCTCCTCCTGTCTCATTCTCCCCATTGTGCAAATGCACCCGCTCCCACTCTTCCTTAACCACCTGTTCCATCTCAACCACTTCCAACTCCTTGCCGCGCTCCGCCCGCCCAAAAGCAAGCCCGTGGTGCGACCCTGCTGCTACAGTGTCCACGTGCAGACAAGCCAGGCCGCCCACGAGCCCGGGGAGTGGGTCGGCGGAGTTTGGCGTTGGGCGGCCGAGCTGATGGTAGTTGTTGTGGCCCCTGGTGAGGAAAGGGAGGAAGGGGTGAGGAAAGGGAGCGAGGGGTGAGGGAAGGGGAACGGGGGGTTGAGGGAAGGGAGCGTCGAGTCAATTAAAAAGCTGAGCCAGTGATAGTGGTTGTGAGCCCTGAAAGGAAGGGAAGGGAGGGGAGGGGAGGGGAAGGAGAGTAGTTAGCACAATGCACCAACTCCAGACTCCAGAGGGACTCTCCAAAGGAGGGACAGTAATTACTCTCCTCCCAGACTTTCCTGAGTAATCAGCAGCCCCACCACCTGAATGCGAGACAGTAACCCTCAGATATGCGAGACACCCTGAATGCCAACACCACTGGCAAAGCTAGGCAAAGCACACAAGCGATACCAGCTAAACTCACCACGAAAAGACCTGTCCTGTGGTGGTTCTGGCAAGCACAAACGACGCACCCCCCACCACCTGCACCACCTCTCCCATCCGCACTCCCCCCTCCCCCCCCTCCTCCTCTCCCACCACCTCACTCGGCTCTTCCGCTGCTCCCCCTGTTCGCCCCAGTAACACAGAACCTCGTGCTGCTGCAGCTGCTCCTCCTGCTGCTGCTGGCACTCCTTTTCCCCCACCATACCCCCAAGATAGCAATTTCTGAGAGGATGCCATGACAGCAAAAGACGCGCCTGCTGCTGCTCCGATGGTTGATGCACGCTCGGAAGACAAGGGACCGGAGGTGATGCGGTGGGGGAGGGAGAAGCGGGTGTGGGAGGAGGAGGAAGAGGGAGAGGGGATGAGGTGGGCTAGAAGGGGGGCGTGGAGGGCAGGATTGACTCTAACGCCACTGGCGTTGAAACCAGTGCTGCAGAGGGGAGGGGAGGAGGAGGGAATGAAGGAAGGGGAAGAAAGGAAGGAAGATGGGGTGGGCAAGGAGGGGGGCGTGGAGGGCAGGATTGACTCTAACGCCACTGGCGTTGAAACCAGTGCTGGTGGGGGGGGAAAAGGGAGTGTGGAAGGAAGAGGAGCAAGTATACAGACATCATTTTTTAATCGATCAAATATTGGACAGGACGTGGCTGCTATCTCTCCCCTCCTTACCCCTCTCCTATAATGTAAAGCCTTCCCGCCCATCCCTCTGTCTGCTTCTCAACACGCAAGATTCAAGCAAATTTCACGTGGCCCCTGAAAATCTGCTTATTTTCAGGCCCCTGAAAATTACAGGTTTTTTAGGCCCCTGACAAATATGCTTCTCACCTGTATGCGTACTCATGGAGTGAATGTTTTTTGAGAATTCTCAAAAAACATACGCTGCAACAAATTTCCCTCCCACGAATGTTAGTGTGTTGGCGTTTACCAAAGAGGGTACGCAACCTCTTGGTGAAAATATGCTTCTCACCTGTATGCGTACTCATGGAGTGAAAGCACACCAATGCTCCTCCCCTGGTGCTTTCTCCACCGCCCAAGGACCCTCTTTTGAGAACCTGCACCCAGACTCCACCACCCAAGGACCCTCATTTCCTCTCTCACCTGCATGCGTACACATGGCCTTTATCCGTGAGTGCCAGCCAGTGCTCCTCCCCTGCTGCCATCTTCTTACCTGAATCGCCTGCCCTCCACCCTCTTACCCTCTAAAATGTGCCTCACCTGCACGCGTACACGTGGCCTTTATCAGTGAGCGCCAGCCAGTGCTCCTCCCCTGCTGCTATCTCCACCACCCTCTCCCCCTCCAACGCCCCTCCCACCCTTCCCTCTGTCTGCTTCTCAAAACCCCGTGTTCTCCCACCCATGTTCTCTCACCTGCATGCGTACACGTGGCCTTTATCTGTGAGGGCCAGCCAGTGCTCCTCCCCTGCTGCTATCTCCACCACTCTCTCCCCCTCCAACGCCCCTCCCACCCTCCTTGGTTCTGCTGCCAGTGCCAGTGCTTCTGCTAGTTCCTTCTCTAATCCACCGCTGCTGCTGGTGCTGCTGCCGGCGCTGCCAGCGGCAACAGCAGCAGCAGCAGCAGCAGAAGAAGCAGCAGTAAGTGTATGGCAAAGGTCATGGTGGTGGGTCCAGGGAGCAGGGAGAGAGAAGAGGTTGAGTCCCCAGGTGAAGACTTGCCCCCCCGCAGAGAGGGCCAGGGAGTAGTGCGGGCCTGCTGCTGCCGCCACCACCACCACATTCTCCATCGGCCCCCGCACTGGTGCTGCTTCATGCCTGTCGCCCTGAGAGGTTGGAGGCGGGAGGGAGGGAAAGAGGGAAGAGACGAGCAGGGAGCGAGAAGAGGTTGAGTCCCCAGGTGAAGACTTGCCCCCCGGCAGAGAGGGCGAGGGAGTAATGCGGGCCTGCTGCTGCCGCCACCACCACCACGTTTTCTAGGGCCCCCCGCACTGGCGCTGCCTCGTGCCTGTCGCCCTGGGTGATGGGAAACAGGGTAAGGGTGAAAGAAAGGGTTGATGCTGGGAAGATAGGGCGAGGGAGTAGTGCGGGCCTGCTGCTGCCGCCACCACCACCACCACGTTTTCCAGTGGCCCCCTCACTGGCGCCGCCTTGTGCCTGTCGCCCTGGAAGGTAGGAGGAGGGAAAAAGGAGAGGGAAGACATTAGGACCCCAGGTGAAAGGGTATGATCCCTGGAAGAGGGGGCAAAAGGGCGAGATAGGGTAACCCTCAACCTTTTTCACATAACTCTTACCATGCTCCTTGTCTGCCTGCCCAGCTGTCCCCACCCATCGCACCCCCATGTGTACACCACCCCTCCTTTGTCACGGCCAGGGCAGATTTGAGTAAACTCAAACATCAACCTACACTCCCTCACACCATTCAAAACCGCTTACCATGCTCCTCGTCTGTCTCCCCAGCTGGCCCCTCCCATTACACCCCCACGTGTACACCACCCCCTCTTCTGTCACAGCCACCGAATGAAACTTCCCAGCAGCTACCGCCCGCACTCTCCCCGCCACTCCCCCCACCCTCCCAGGCCTCCCAAACGGCCCCTTTCGCCCCAGCTGCCCAGCTTTCCGCCGCCTGCTGTCCCAGTTACGGCCGAAGGAATAGAGAGCTCCGTCTACTGTCACTGCTAGCGTGTGTCCTGACGCTGCCACGGCCTTCACTCCCTTGCGACCCAATACCCCCCCTGATCTGTGTGCGCCTGGGGGAAACGGATGGGCACCCTTCTCTGCTTCCAGTGCTCCAATCTTCTCTCCCATAGCAGCAGCTTCAGCTTCTCGCCTGCCTGCGTCCACCACAGGCCAAGCAGCCCTGTCTTCCTCGCCCCATCCCATTCGGTAGCTCAGGTCGCCCCCTGCCCACCCAAACAGGTACCCTGCCTTTTGAGCCATCACAGTGCTAGCTCCTCCTTTTCCCCCTCCTTTCCCTCCTGGGGATCCGGCATAGCGCCATGCTGGGTAGGAGAAGGCTGTTGCTTCATCTGCTGCCACTGCTGCTGCTGCTGCCGCCTCTGCTGCAGCTGCTTTTGCTGCTGCCACTTCTGCTGCCGCTGCCCGTCCTGCTGCTACAGCATTCTCTGCTGCCGCTTCTGCAGCTGCTGCTGCAGCTGTCTCCTCAGCTGCTGCCGCTGCATCTGCTGCTGCAGCTGGTTCCGTGGTCGGCACAGGAAATGCCGCAGCAGGCTCTTCTCCTCCTGCTACAGCCGCCGTCTCTGCTGGTCCTGCCGCTACAGCCGTCTCTGTTCCAGGTTCTGCCATGGATGGTGCGAAAGGAGTGGGATAGGCGAATGGTGTGATTGGCATGGGAAGTATTACCACATCAATCTAGCAAGCCCACCGGTATGCCTCAGACAACCCGCTCCACATCTGTTGAGGCCACAGACAATCCAGACCCTCAAAAGTGAAAAACAAGCCCACCAGCAGGCCACAGACAACCCGCTCCAACGAACCCGTAGACCTTCCAGACCCACATTGCATCACGCTGACACTGACACTGACACTGACACTGACACCGTTCTGGTGTCGCACACAAGCAGTCCACAGATCACCCGCTCGACTAAACCCGGAGAGCTTTCAAACCCATATCAAATCCAGGCCACGCCATTCATGAATCTTACCACCGCTGGACCTGCTTCCTCCCTTTGGCAGCAGAAGAACCAAGGATGACAGCAGCAGCAAGGCTAGCAGGCCCACCAGCACGCCACATATCACCCGCTCCAGCCAACCGGGAGAGATTTCAAGCCCCCGATTGCTGGTAGTAGCAGAGCTCAACCAGCCGCAATCGGGTGAGAACCGTGCGGTACCCTTCAAATTCGACCATCCGGTTGTAGATACCCCCGTCGTGTCCCTGCTGCTGCCACCACTGACACCGCTGCCGCTTGTTGTTGCTCCTGCCGTGGCTCGATCACGGTTCCATGAGAAAAAGGAAGGTAAGAAGTTGCCAATGCCACTAACACTGCCGCCGCTGCTGCTGCTGCCGCCGCCAGTTGTGACGAATGACGAGGAGAGAGAGAGTTTCGCGGAAACGCCTGGTGCTTGGAAAGCCCCTCTACGCTGAATTGGTGGTGGCCGTCGCATGGTTGCTCGCTGCTGCTGGTATGGATTATAGTAAAAATGGGTGAATACGCTTTACTGAGCTCTGAGATGCCACGGAATTCGCTCTGGTTGGGAATGAGATCGAGTAAATGGATCGAATTCGCGAAATGTGATTGGCAGGAAAAGAATTGGAGGGACTATCATCAATCGTCCCGCAACCGTCCCACGTGAGATACTTCGATCTTTCACGAGAAGCTAATCACAACCACGAGAAGACGCTCCGATCAGATCGGACGGCTGAACTATGCTGATGCGCCTCTAATCTTCGGCCGCTGAGAGCACTCGAGGCAGGGACGAGAAAAAGCCAGAGCCAGAGCTCCAGTCGTAATTTCTGCGATGATAACAAAACGCAAACGGTCCACCAAACAGGGAGGAAGCATTCTAACATACGCTGCCAGTGTAACCTCGGCAGCATTTGTTTGAAATCGTGCATAGGAAGAAATAGATTGAAGCTGATCAGTTGAATGGAACTCCCAAGAGAATTCCGGAATGGCATGGCACTCCCGAGGCAGGGTGGTGGTTGTCGGTTGGGTTGGATCCGCTGCTTATCCGATATAGAAATGATGCGCTGTAGGCTATGCGGATAAGGAATGAAAGGGGAACGCTGAATTGCTGATAAGCTGTCTAGAACTACTTAAGCACAAATTGGGCCAACCATGCCAAGTTTGATATCTTTAAAGGCAAGGTGGTCATTTGAAAACTGAAGGAACAACAATGTGAGCAATCTACATGGATGAAATCTGTAGTATGCAGCTTGGGTTAGTGTTCCAACGTGTTAAAGGGACATCTATCACACATCACCATTAGCAGCCATGTCGACTTATCCTCATTTTCCTTCCTACTTTCACACTTGACCATCTTCGCTAATACCACCTCTCGCAATCCTTTTTGCATGTGGCATCTCAGCTTCACTCCCCAAAGGAGAACGGGACCGCACCCTCCCACTAAACGCATTCAAACTCAGACTGTCCGAACCTGGCGTGTCCTGCCGAACCTCCACTCCTCCACCCGTGCCTTCGTCCGAACCTGTACCTGACATGGACCGGGCTGCAGTTTCGGAATCAACCGCCCGAACCGCTGCAGCCACGGAAGCCATTATATCCATTCGCCCGCCTCTTCTTGATCCTAAGGACGAGGGGCTAGATTCGGCTGATACGCCTGCTCCTCGGTCTTGAAAAGGGGAATTTACCCTTGGAAAAAAGCTGAAGTGCTGAGACTGCTGCTGATACTGAAACTGCTTATGCTGCTGCTCCTCCTCCCCTTGTTTCTCATGCCCTTCCTGTTCCTGTTCCCGCTGCTGCAGCTGCAGAAGCTCTTGCTGTTGCTGCTGTATTCGCAACTGTTGCTGCTGCAATTCCAACTCTTGTTGCTGAAACAGCTGCTGGTGCAATTGCTGCATGTGCTGCACTCCCTGTTGCTGCATGTGCTGCCCTCCCTGCTGCTGCAGCCTCATCATGGTTCGAGGAGGCATCATAACTTCAGCCAGTCCGGGAATGCCTTGACGACCCTCAACACCCTGATGATCTTGATGACCCTGACTCAGTTGAGCAGACGCATGGAGTTGCAAATCCTGCGCACTATTCTGTGCACTATTCTCTGCATTGTTTTGAGCTAGATTCAGAGCATTGTTCCGAGCACCGTTTTCCACACCAAGAGAGAGTGCTGGCTCCTGTTGCTGCTCCTGCCCCAGCCCCTGCCCCTGCTGCCGCAGTCGCCGCCTCGGATCCTGCAATTGTTGCTGCTGCTGTTGCTGTTGCTGCTGTGGCACCTGAGAGGGTGCTGCCTTCTGTTGTTTTCTCCTGAGCGACTCCTGCAGCTGGTGAACAGCAGCGGCGGGATTTGGGGCAAACTGTACCTGCTGCTGCTGCTGCTGCTGCTGCTGTTGTTTCTGCCTCATGTATGCTTCTAAAAGGGCAGTCATGGCTTGAGACGAAGAGGACAAATCTGAAGCACTGCTTGCATTGTCTCCCGCACCTCTTGTGGTGCCTGAAGCAGCACCAGCACCAGCAGCATCAGAACCACCAGCACCACCAGCAGCAGCATCAGTGGCAGTAGCAGTAACAGTGGTAGCAGCAGCAGCAGCACCACCATCAGCAGCAGCAGTAACAGCAGCACCGGTTGCAGCAGCAGAAGCAGCAGCAGTGCCAGCCGCAGCAGCAGTAACAGCCATTCGCGATTTTCTCTGCAGAGCAGCAGTCAGGGAGCTGGAGAGGCGGGGGGGAGGAGCAGAGGAGGAGGCGGAGGAGGAGGAGGAGGAGGAGGAGAGGAGGGAGGGGATGAGGGAAGGGTCTGAGGCAGAAAGAAGCCTTAAGGCTTGCCGTTGTACTTTTGCAATTAGGTCAACTGAGTTGGCTGCTGCAGGGATAGTTGTAGCAGCTGCACCGGCTGTACCGGCTGTGGCGGTTGTAGCGGCTGTGGCTGGAGGGAACTGCCCTGCTGCTGTAACAGTAGAGGAGGTGATTGCAGTTTGCATCTGCTGTAGCAGCTGCTGCTCTAGTAACTGCTGCTGCAGCTGTTGCTGCTGTTTCTGCTGTTGCTGTTGTTGCTGACGTTGTTGATGTTGCTGTTGCTGTTGCTGTTGCTGTTGCTGCTGCTGCTGCTGCTGCTGCTGTTGCTGCTGAAGCAGTAACAGCAGGAGTTGCTGCTGCTGATCTTGCTGCTGCTGCTGTATTCTTCCTGCCCCTCCAGTTGCCTCCAGTCCTACCGCTCCAGTTGAACCTTCCCCAGTTGAACCTGCCTGCAATCCTGCTGCAACCATCTGCTGCTGTAGCTGCTGCTGCGGTTGCTCCTGCTGTCCCTGAAGCTGCGGCTGCAGCTGCAGTTGCTGAAGCCCCTGCTGTTGCTGCCCCTGCTGTTGCAGCTGTGGCTCCTGCTGACGCACTTGCTGCTGCAGCTGCTGGCCACGCCCCACTCGTGCACCGACAGATGTCGCGAGGCGATTGGCCAATGCATTAGGGCCGAGGAGCGTGCGGAGCATTGAGTTGCGAATGAAGTTCTGCACCTGGCGAGGGGGGAATGGGGACAGGGAGCAGAATAAAGGAAGCGGGACAGGGAGGAAAGTGGGGAAAGGCCAATGCATGAGGGCGAGGAGCGTGCGAAGCATCGAGTTGCGAATGAAGTTGCACCTGGCGAGGGGGATGCAAAAATGGAGGAATCACTGGAGTGGGGGGAGCTGAAAAAATTTACACATTCAACTCGACTAATTGTGACAAAATCTCGGGCTGACAAAATTAACTATTCATCTGCCTCGACACATTTTTTTGGGATAAATTTTCCGATAAATTTCGTGTGCCCAGCCCAGCCAGTCGAATGTGCTGTGCACCCTCATATTAACACTTACCCTAAAAAAGAGGGGTTTTCCCTTACTTACCTGCTGCCCCTCTGCTTCTCTCTCGAGCAGCCATTCCAGCTTCCTCTTTCCCCCATCTGGCTCGTATGCTGCTTGCTCCAGCTCCCTCTGCGACCCGGGGAACCAGGGGAACGAGGGGGAAAATGGCAGGAGATTGACCAGGGAGGGAATCAGGGTAACAGTTGTCAAGGCGCCTCATAATACGTCTCTTGCCCCCATCTGGCTCGCATGCTGCCTGCTCCAGCTCCCTCTGGTAACCACATGGCGACAGAGACAGACACGAAAAGAATTGGGCCACCATGAGGAGAGAGGAGGGAGAGAGAGTGGAAGATGAACGGCAAACCAAAGTGAGGCACAAATGTCATTTGCACGTGCACCAAATGGTGACAGAGACAGACACAAATGTCGTGCTGACTGCTCTTTCCCCCATCAGGCTCCTGCAGCGTTGCCTGCTCCATATTTTGCCAGAAGTGGTGGTCCTGCGGCAGAGACACACACATGCACTTACATAATCACACTCTCACACTCACAGTCACACACTCTCTTAGAAACACACCTCCAGCAGCCCAAGGGCAATAGCAGGGTCAGTGATCTGGCAGAAGTGGTGGTCCTGCGGCAGAGACACGGGCGTTTCCTCTGCCTCCATGGGTGGCAGAGGCAGAGACACACACCCACACATTTGTATGACACATACTCACACACTCACGCACGCACCTCCAGTAGCCCGAGGGCAATAGCAGGGTCGGTGATTTGCCAGAAGTGGTGGTCCTGCGGCAGAGAGACGGGCGTTTCCTCTAACGCCCCACATAGTCACTCTCATAGACATACCCACATACTCACACTCTCTGTCTCACACACCCACGCACCTCAAGCAACCCCAGGGCAATGGCAGGGTCGGTGATCTGCCAGAAGTGGTGGTCCTGCGGCAGAGACACGGGCGTTTCCTCTGCTTCCATGGGTGGCAGCTCCATGGGCTTCTCAAGGCTGCGGAACTGGAAGGATTAAGGGGAGAGGGAGGAGGACCAGACGGGAGTAGTTGAAACACTAAGAATAAGATGACTGTCAAGTCGAAATTAACAAGTCCCCTGCCTCCATGGGTGGCAGCTCCATGGGCTTCTCAAGGCTGCGGAACTGGAAGGATTAAGGGGAGAGGGAGGAGGACCAGACGGGAGTAGTTGAAACACTAAGAATAAGATGACTATCAAGTCGAAATTAACAAGTCCCCTGCCTCCATGGGGAGCAGCTCCATGGGCTTCTCGAGACTGCGGAACTGGGAGCGGGAAGAGTTAGAGTGAGGACAGATGAAGAAACACCAGACAGCAATGATATTAAACACAACATCAATAATGAGTAGCCTTATCACGCTTCTCCGCCTCCATGGGTGGCTGCTCCATGGGCTTCTCGAGACTGCGGAACTGGGAGGAATAAAGAGGGGTAGAGGAAGGGAGGGGTCCAGATGGCTGTAGTTGAAACACAAAGACAGCTATCAAATCAAAGCAAAACTCACAAACTGCTTGAAGGAGCTGTTCGGCTCTTAACAATTTTAAGAATTCTAGAAGCAATAACACTTACATAAGTGTGAGCGAGAGGCTCTTTGGCAGTGCACCGTCTGGAGGGATCAAACGCCAGCATGCGATGGAGGAGACCCGCAGCCTGGGGCTTTAGGGTTTGGTGTGAGTGAGCAGAAAACCGCAGCACACTACTTACCTATGCACGACCGACACTGCCCTTACATAAGTGTGAGCAAGAGCTTCTTCTGCAGTGCAGCGCCTGGAGGGATCAAACGCCAGCATGCGATGGAGCAGGTCCGCAGCCTCGGGATCACCACATGGCGCCATCTGATTGGCCAGGTTGCCCGCCCGCCCAGGCAGCCTCTTGAGGAACGCCCGCCAGGCATCGCTGGGGACGGTCTCAATGTCCTTCCAGCAGGGCGTGCCGATGACATCGAATATCACGTCCAGTTGGTCGGCTAGTGGCGACTCGTTGTCATCTACATACTTCTCCCCTGTCTCTGGCGTCACTGGCTCGCCCCTGTGATGCAGTGAGCAGGGGGGCGGATTCCAGGGGGAGACCAAACAGGACAGAACAGAAGAGAGAGTATCATTACAGGCGAGTCTCTACGCCCGCCGGGCGTCGCTGGGGACGCTCTCAATGTCCTTCCAGCAGGGCGAGCCGATGACATCAAAGTTCACGTCGAGCTGGTCGGCCAGGGGTGACTCGTTGTCATCCACGTACTTCTCCCCTGTCTCTGGCGTCACCAGCTCACCCCTGTGATACAGGGAGTAGATTGGGGGGCATTCAGAGTGAGTGTAAGATACTTCTTCCCTGTCTCTGGCGTGCGTGACGGGCTCGCCCTCATGATGCAGAGGCTCACCTGATGGCAACAGAGGCCCACCTGATGGCAACAGAGGCTCACCTGATGGCAACAGAAGCCCACCTGATGGCAACAGAGGCTCACCTGATGGCAACAGAGGCCCACCTGATGGCAACAGAGGCTCACCTGATGGCAACAGAGGCCCACCTGATGGCAACGGAGGCCCACCTGATGGCAACAGAGGCCCACCTGATGGCAACAGCGACCCACCTGATGCCAAAGAGAGGTCTTGATGGGGGACCTGGGCGATGGGGGCGCATGGCTCGCATTAGGAGCTCCTGAGGAAGGGAGGGGGAAGGAGGAGCAGGAGGAGGAGGGGGTGAAGGTGAAGGGAGGAAGGAGGAAGAAGGTCTTTTGTTTGTTCCGGGGGGAAGTGAGGGGAAGGGGGAAAAAGTGCTTCGCCGAGCCTCTGTAGATGTGTGAAGGAATTCAGTGAGCCTCGAAGCCTATATAAGTGCATCCACATAAAATCTGCTCTTCTAGAAGAATAGTACTCCTCCAGTGCTCACTGGAGAAAGGAGTTCTGCAAGGAGTTCTAAAAGGAGCTCTCTTGGGCCGAAAATCTTACCCAGAATATACAGCCGAGCGACCAGCTGAATCGGGATGAAGAGAGGAGAGGTTCGTGCACGCGCAAGCCAGGTGAGTGGCACCCCGGTGAATGCAGGGAGGGATGAACGGTACAGTGGCGCGGGGATAAGGGAGGGGAGGGAGAGGGGGAGAAGTGGGAGATTGATAAGTTATGAAGCGCCTTCAATCAAAATGTTGATTCACACAGGGAGAGATGAATTGTGAGTAGTAAGAGGAAAAGGAGAGAAGAAAGAGAAGGGGGAGAAGAAGAGAACGGGGGATGGGGAGAAAGGAAGAAAGAGGAGGGGGGAGACAGGAAAGGGGACTCACATGTCGATGGCTGATGTGTACTGGCCTCGCGACATGACCACCTCAGGGGCGCGGTAGCTGGGGGTGACGACCATCTTGGTGAACTGCCTCTGCAGCACGTGCTGCTTCCTCCCCGCCGCTGCCCCCTTCTCGTCCGGCGCACTGCGAGGCTGCATCGGCTGCCCTGACTGCAACGGGAGTGTGTTCAGAGGATTCACAGGGGGTAGGAGGAGGAGGGAGAGGAGGGGGTTAGGTTTCAGTCCGCCTCAGGAATAGACTCATCCAGCGCGGCCCACTGCGCGGCTGCATCGGCTGCCCTGACTGAACCCGTTTCATGGGGGGTTGGAGCAAGGGAGGGGAGTAAAACGAGAGTGTGGGGAAGCGAGTGTGGGATAAGACAGATTGGGGGGAGAGGGAGTGGAGGATAGAGGAGACGAAGTGGGGGGCTTACCAGTAGGAGTGGGGCAAGTGAGCGTTGAGGAGGCAAGGACAGGAAGAGAAGAGGAGGACACACTCACCCCGAGGGCGGACCTGGAGAGGCCAAAGTCACAGAGTTTGAGCGTGGTGTTGGCGTGGAGCAGCGTGTTCTCTGACTTGATGTCTCTGAGGGGAGAAAACGATGGGCATTGGGGGAGTCAGAAGCGAAAATTGGAGTGAGAGTTGGGGAGAGTTGGGGAGTGAGTGAGGGACGTGGTGTGGTGGCTCGTGATGTGGTGTTGGCGTGGAGCAGCGTGTTCTCTGACTTGATGTCTCTGAGGGGAGAGCGGAAGACGGGAAGCGGGGGAGTGAAGGACGGGCATTACAAGAGGCAGTAAGGGAGAGAGAGTGGTGTTGGCGTGGAGCAGCATGTTCTCGGACTTGATGTCTCTGAGGGGAGCAAACGATGGGCATTCGGGGAGTCAGAAGCGAAAATTGGAGTGAGAGTTGGGGAGAGATGGGGAGTGAGTGAGTGGGGGACGTGGTGTGGCAGCTTGTGATGTGGCAGCTCGTGGTGTGGTGTTGGCGTGGAGCAGCGTGTTCTCGGACTTGATGTCTCTGAAGGGAGTAAACAATGGGCAGCAGGAGAGGAAGACAAAGGGATTGGAGTGTGTGCTAGTTGGGGAGTTGGGAACGTGTTGCGGCAGGCAGCTCATGCTTTGGTTAGTGGGTATCATCTCCCTCACTCATCAGTACCATATCTGGCAGGAGAGTGGGTTGTGGGTTAGTATTCGCCACTGGCAGCCTCCACAGGTGCCGTATGCCCGACTGCAGGGGTGAGTAACATCAGCCAGCTTCAAGGATTATATTCTAGAGATCTCACTTACCCACCCACCCACCTGTGCCAGACGGAGCAGGAGTGCAGGTACCGGGTTGCCACCAGCAGCTACCACACATGCCTTATGCTTGACTGACTGCCAGCTAGGCCAAGATTTTTATATTAGGGGTCTCCCCCGCCCACCCGCCCACCCGCCCACCCACCCACCCACCCACCCACCTGTACCAGACGTGGCAGGAGTGCAGATAGCGAGTTGCCACCAGCAGCTGCCATATGAGTCGCCTCACGTCCTCTGGTGTTAGTGGCTGCTCTGCTTGAACCAATACCTTTGAGAGATCTACTCTGGGAGGCCTCACCCACTCAAACACACCCACCCACCTGTGCCAGACATGGCAGGAGTGCAGGTAGCGAGTTGCCACCAGCAGCTGCCATATCAGTCGCCTCACATCCTCTGGTGTTAGCGGCTGCTTAAACCGATAGAGATCGCCACTAGGAATTGGAAGGGATGGGAGGGGAAAAGGAGACAGGGGAGACTTTTGAGTTGACCAAAAGCCATATCAGCGCCTCACATCCTCTGGTGTTAGTGGCTGCTTGAACCGATACAGATCGCCACCGGGGGGAGGGGAGGCGGAGAGGAACGGCAGGGGAGAGGGAGGGGAAAAGGACGGGATTGACTTCTGAGTCGGTTCTAATGCCATAGGTCCAGGACTATGGCTTATCCTGACCTGAGGAACAGATTTTATCAGCGGCTTGGAGAGGTTCAGGTCAGTTTTTGAAGTGCCTCACGAACAGTCACCACAGCACAGGGCTTACCCTGAGAGGCATACTCTGTAGCCATGATCCGCCTCAAAGTCACCCGAACCGTACAGCACCACTCTGCATCACAGAGACTACTTACCCTGAGGCATATTCTGTGGCGATGTAGAGGTCAAATCCCCCCGGCACCTCAGTGGACTTGCGAGTAAACACGTCCCCCCCTAGGCTAGGCTAAGCTGCCCTGAGCTGAGGCATACTGGCAATGTGAAGGGGGTGCTTACCCTGAGGCATACTCAGTGGCGATGTACAGGTTGAATCCCCCCGGCACCTCAGTAGACTTGCGAGTAAACACGTCCGCCACTGGGAGTAGACATGAGCACAAGGGCGAACACCTGTTCGGTTTGCCTCGAACGTGTTCGAGGCGAACCGAACAGGTTTGTTTTTTTTGCTTAAATTGTTCGCCGAACAGTGTTCGATGTTCGCCCGAACACGTTCGTGTTCGGGCCGCTGCTGCAATTTGCCCCGCGACGAACACGAACGTGTTCGACGTTCGCCCGACCCGAACATGCCTTCACAGGCGAACGGCGAACACGTGTTTTTGCTTAAAGTGTTCGCCGAACCGAACAGTGTTCGGTTCGGCAAACGGATGTGTTCGTCTAGGGGCGAACACGAACATGTTCGTGTTCGCCCCTTGCTCATCCCTAACTGGGAGGGAGGTGGGCAGAGGCTGGCTAGGCTAGGCTGGGCTGGGCTGGGCTTACTCTGAGGGCCGAGGCATACTGGCAGTGTGAAGTGAAGGGCTTACCCTGAAGCATACTCTGTGGCGTGGCGATGTACAGGTCAAATCCGCCCGGCACCTCAGTAGACTTGCGAGTAAACACGTCTGCCACTGGGAGGGAGGTGGGCAGAGGCTGGCTAGGCTAGGCTGGGCTGGGCTTCCTCTGAGGGCCGAGGCATACTGGCAGTGTGAAGGGCTTACCCTGAAGCATACTCTGCGACGATGTAGAGGTCAAACCCCCCTGGCACCGCAGTGGACTTGCGAGTAAACACGCATGCGCCACTGGGATTGTGTGGGGTGGGGTCAGAGGCTAGGCTAGGTTTTCCAAGTGGCATACTGGCAGTGTGAAGGGCTTACCCTGAGGCATACTCCGTGGCAATGTACAGGTCAAATCCCCCCAGCACCTCGGTGGACTTGCGAGTAAACACGTCCGCCACTGGGAGGGAGCGGAGGGAGCATGGGGGAGAAGGATGGAGGGAAAGGTTTCGTGCACAGGAGGATGATGAAGGGGCTGGGGGACGAAGGGCAGGCAGGAGTGAGGGAAGGAAAGTGGACGACAGATGTGATACACATACACTTGTTGAGTTTTTCTTCTTACATCGGATGACGTATGGGTGCGAGAGACGGCGCATGAGTGAGGCAGACCTCTCGCAGCACTCTCATTTGAGTCACATTGGGATTTGTGATTCCAGAAATAGCATAGTAATAAGAATGCATCTGTGCTTCTTTCTTACACCCGCCTGCTATATTCTCACATCTAATGACGGATATTATGGGTGTGAGAGGCAGTGCATGATGCAGACCTCTCGGAGCACTCTCATATGAGTCGACTCATAACCGAACAGACCTTGGAATTTGTGCGTCCAGCGGTAGTCATCGGACGAAACGCGTGCCTGCATCTCACATCCACATTCTCCTCACATCTGCCTTGTTCTTACGTACATCGGATGACGTATGGGTGTGAGAGACGGCGCATGATGCAGACCTCTCGAAGCACTCTCTTTGCCAGCATGGGGCAGCACAGCACATCTGCAATGCGCTGCTCACATTACATCACAGGCAGGCAGGCACACGCACACACATACACACACACAAACACACGGAGAGGGGATTGGATTAGCAGGAGGGTGAAATGGAACGTAGCGACCTGGATGACTATGCGGAAGCACATCCGAATGGCCTTGCCTCTTGAGCCTGGATGTATGAGTTCGAGTGAGTGCAACACGCACGAGAAGAGGGACCTCACTTAGGAGAATACTATTTCTGTATACCTTTTGGGAAAATAGACTACACTCCAACCACAGCCAAGTCAACCCATCCCACTATAATCACCTTGAGAGCAACGGTTTCGCCCGTCTCATTGTCAGTGGCCTTGCAGACATCTCCGTATGAGCCAGAACCAATCAGACCATGCACCGTATAACGAGATCCCACTGTTGCATTGTAACAAGGACAGGGAAGGTAGAGAAGGGGGGAGAGGGAGGGAGGAAAGAGGAGGGGGGGGGGTTTCGAGGTGATAAGAGGACTGAGGGTTCCAAGACGAGACAAGTGAAATCAGACACTGCAGCACTGTGTTACGAGACCGCACAGCTATCAGGAAAGAGGAGCAATGAAACGGAGACAGGAGGGTACGGTATGGGAGGGTCACAGGAAGATTAAGAGTGAAATGAAGACCTAAGAACAATAGGAAAAAAAAAAAAAAAAAAAAAAAAAAAAAAAAAAAAAAAAAAAAAAAAAAAAAAAAAAAAAGACAACAGGAGGACCAAATAGCTGCCTTCTTGTCAGTGACACGACAATTCTGCTGCATATCGACGGAATGAGCGAAAAGAAGCTCGGGCGAGGGCAAGCCTGGCCAGCGCTTGTAACGAGACGAGTTTTTATGCGCCTTAGAAATGCTCGCGCAAGGACACGGCCTGACTGGCGCTTGCTGTGGACTGTTTACGGGCCTGTGCTCGCATCATATATTCCTGTACCCCGTCATATGCTCGCGTCGTAAATTCCCGTGTCCATGCCGTAAAATCCTGTTCTCGCGTCGTATATTCATGTGCTCGCGTCCTGTGCTCGCATGGTACTGGAACGCCTTTTTCTATGTATAAAAAAATAGAAATCGTCACGCACCTGGCCATGGCTTGTTCTTAACGGTGTAAATGCCCGTGCCCGCGTCGTACTGGACCGCCTCTGCACCTCCGCCGGTCCCGCCGGTCGGCGCGGCGGCCATGCACGGATATAGACTCCGCTAATGCGGATACTGTCGCAAATTTAGGTCAGTTAGTGATGATCCAGTCGGGTCATGCACACCCCAGATGAAATATAGTTATGTTATTAGTGATTATAAAGCCGACTCACATTATGGCGCTGGTGGTTTTTAAACATCATCTGGTATCTGAAACGGGTATTATGACAATGAAAGATGGACTAGGAAGGGCAAGCTAGAAACTAGAGTGGTAAGTTTAGAATGTTCAGGTTCAGGCAACCTTGGGATCAGTTTTGAATGACTCGAGAACCTTTGGATCAGTTGTTGCCTATCTAGAAACATGGAAAAGGGTTGACCCTAAGTTGTATGTGCGTAACCTGTTCGCGAACCGTAATTCAGACTTCGTGCTGCTTCGCCCCCACCACGTCACGGTCGATCTGGCTGGCTGCAAATTACATTTCTCTTTGTCGACTGAAAACATCTCCCATGCCAGTCTCTTTGTGGACCTGACAACCGTTTTGATAGTAAACGAACCGCTTTCCCACGGTCAACATCTTACCAAACCGCATTGAAGTCAGGCTATGACACCCCGCCTGAAACCATTTTCGGCGCCATTTTCTGCATTTGCTTCAGTCAGTCCAGCCGAGATTAAAATTTCCAGATTCTGTAATACGTTATAACTTACTGTGATGTTCTTCTCCACCCAAGGATTTGAGATTCCCGATTTCGCTTGCACTCCTAGCACACAAAACCCACCTCATCTCGCTGTTTTTGCCGCTCAGTGGCTAGAGCTAGTCCCCTTGAAGGGGCCGCAAAAAATGTTCCTGAAGGTACGCTGATTTCCGCTTCTCCCTGTTCGGTAATTCTTATCGCGCCATTATCGGTCTTACGGGGAACCAGCCGTGTTTACAAGCCGGTAAGATACTTTCTCCAGCATTATTACTCTTCATGCCATTATGCATCTTCTATTAAAATTAGAACCTTATTGCGGCCCCGCGTTGTGTAGTTCACGTATCACCACCTATCCTCTGCTTCTCATCCGTCGTCGAATTTTCTTCTTCATATGTTTTCTTCTTTGCATATCTTCTCGCATCCAATCCAGCTGTCTGCGTCTCATCCCGCACCACCACGTACCCCCTGCTCATCCAGCTGTCTGCTTCTCATCCCTGCTTCTAATCCTACCATATCCAATCCAGCTCTCTAGAGAAAACGCGAGCTGAACATAATATACTAGAGACTGAGACGCGGCAATAGGAGATGGAGACGCAACAACAGTCCATGGGGACGCAGCAAGGGGCGGAGTCACAGCAACCAATGCAGAAAGAGCAAGATATGGAGCAGGGTTGCGAGGCAGAGGCAGAGGGAGAGGCAGAAGCATCACCAGCACCAGCACCAGCACCAACAGCACCAGCACCAGAATTTTCCTTGCCGCAGCAGCAGCCGAAGCCACCAGCGCTGTTGTCATTCCAAGACGTGGCGATAGCTGCAGTCAGAGGGAGCGGTCTGGTATCCCACCACCTGCACTCCTTTAACCGCTTCCTGCGTCGCCTGCCTCGCATCGTGGCTGGCCACAGACCGGTTCAGGTGAGTCTCTTTAAGTTGACTCAGTAGTCAACGCAGTCATAGGAAGTGTGTCTGGTGTCCCACCACTTGCTCTCCTTCAACCGCTGCCTGGGCCGCCTCCCTCGCATTGCGTGGCCGGCCATCGGCCTGTTCAGGTGAGAATGCTCCGTCTTTGAGGCTAGAGCACTGATTTCAGCCCGCACCTTGCACCGTGTTGCCAACTCGCCATTCCAAGACGTGGCGATTGCTGCAGTCAGAAGGAACGGTCTGGTTCCCCACCACCTGCACTCCATCATTCGCTTCTTTCTCTCGCTTCTGTCTCATTGCCCCTCCCTCACTACTGTTGAGGGACAGCAGTGACACGGTAACCACACCAACCATTCTTTCCCCTTTGTTGTATGAATGGTTGGCTTCTTCTTCCTCCCCATGCACTGCAGATGCACATTCCATTGAAGGTCAGCGACACAGTCACCCCCGCGAACCCGCGCAACCACAATCTCGACAGTGCCACATCCCGGGTGGTGGGCGTGGGCATGCGTATCTTTCTCCAAGACCCCGCCTTCACCCTTTGAAGCTCCCTTCACCCGCCTGGTCTTCTCGTTTTGTCCGCCTGTGTATTGCTGCCTGAACCTTCCCCCTTGCAGATACACATTCCTTTGAAGGTCAGTGACACAGTAACGCCTGCCAATCCGCGCAACCACAATCGCGACAGTGTCACATCTCGGGTGGTGGGAGTGGGCGTGCGTATTTTCCTCCAAGACCCTGTCTTCACCCGCCCGCTCGTTCATCCTTTCGGGATGGGAAATCTGGGTGATACTGCTGCTGCTGCCGCACCAGGGACGAGCTCGCTGGCTGGTAACGGAGCAGATTATAGCAAGGATGTGGATGTCAAGATGGCCGAGGAGGAAAAGGATGACGAGGATGGGGAAAGGGGAGGGAAGATTGGGAAGAGGCGTAGGAAAGACAAGAAGAAGAGCGGAAGGAAAGGGAAGGGGAAGGAAACGGAGGAAGGAGTGGGGGGGCTGTATCCGGACTGGGGCCATTCAGACAGGGTTCCATCGGAAGGTCCAGGGCACAGGTTTTCGCAGCCTGGAGTGGGGAATCTGAGGGAACCTACCCCGCTGTTTCCTAGCCAGGCGCGGAGTGAGCATCGGACGTACAGTGGCGATTTGAGAGGATCGCTGCACATTCAGGTGAGGAGGGTGAATGGAGAGAAAACATCTCATGGATGGGTGCAGTGCGGTTGGGGGCTCTGTCAGGAATGTGCAGTGGGTTTGGAGGGTTTTGAGCGGGGCTACTAATTTGCTGTTTTTTACCCAAGCACGGCGTGAGCATGAAATGTGCAGTGGGGATTTGTGTGCATCCAGTTGAGGAGGGGGGATGGAGAGAAAGCATCTCATGGATGGGTACAGTGCGGTTGGGGGCGCTGTGAGGAAGGTACAGTGGGTTGGAGGGGGGGTTGAGCGGGGTTCCTGATTTGCTGTTTTCTAGCCAAGCGTTGCGCGAGCATGGGATGTAAAGTGGGGATTTGTGTGCATCCAGGTGAGGAGGGTGGAGAAAGCGGTACAATGCGGTTTAGGGGCTAAAGAGCTAAGCTGTATCAGACTCTCTCCTCACAGGGGTTTAAGATGAGGCTGCTACAACCGTTTTTTCTTAATAGACTGTCTTGTCTTAGAGGTAGGTAGGTTTTAAGACAAAACAGAATGTTTGGGTGAGGTAGGTAGGTTTTAAGGCCCCTCACCCAAACAGAATGTTTGCGTGCTTCTTCAATTTCTTATGCACTTCTTCTACGTGCTTCTCTATGGTTCCTAATTGCAGGTGTTTGAAGTGGTGGAGCGCGGTCGGTACGAGCAGCCCTCCGAAGAGGCCATTCGACAGGCAGAAATGAGGCAGCAGAAGCAGCAGAGGAGAGAGCAGAGGAGGAGGAAGCAGGCGGAGCAGAGGGGGCCTCTCAAGACTGGGAAACGCTTCGTTCAGTGGGAAGACGAGGAGGATGATGATGATTCTGCTGCCGCTGCTGGTAGCGCTGCTGCTGGTGCTTCTGCTGGTGGTAGCGCTGCTGCTGGTAGTGCTGGTGCGGATGTTGATGTTGATCTGGGGTATGAAGGCCTGCAGTGGACTTGGAGAAAAGCAGGAGCGAAGGAGAAGTGTAAGGTGAAGAAGGAGGAGGGGGAGGAGGAGGAGGGGGAGGGGAAGGAGGAGGGTGGTGGAGAGGAGAGTGTGGAGGAGAGGGTGGTGAGGGAGTGGGTGGAGGGGGAGGTGCCTCTGGGGTCTGTGCCTGTGATGCTTAGGTCAAATGCGTGCCATCTCAAAGGCCTATCAGAGGAGGGCATGTGGGGCCAGGAGGAGTGTCCCAAGGACCGCGGAGGATACTTCATTGTGAAGGGGATGGAGAAGGTGAGGGGGGAGAGGGATGGGTGAAGGGAAGGTTGGCGCAGGATAGATAGGGGAGGTGAGGGTTTTTTGTGACTCAATAGGGGGAGGAGTGTCCCAAGGACCGCGGAGGATACTTTATTGTGAAGGGGATAGAGAAGGTGAGGGGTGGTGAGGGGTGGTGAGGTGAGGGGTGGTGAGGTGAGGGGAGGTTTGGTCCCAAGGACCTGGCGCAAGGAGGAGTGTCCCAAGGAATGCAGAGGATACTTCATTGTGAAGGGGATGGAGAAGGTGAGGAGCACCTCACCCAACACACAATCCTGGTCGAGCCTGCATCTTTCCCATTTTGGCCTCATTCGATCTCCCATATAACTCATGCCCATGCCCTCACCCCGCTCTTCCCACCTATTCGCCCACAGGTGGTTATTCCGCAGCTCGTGAGAGCACCTAACACCATCCTCGTCGAGCCTGTTCCGCCTCCTTCCTCTTCTGCTGCTGCCAGAGCGGCTTCGACAGGCGGCGGGGCGGCAGAGGGGGCGGGAGTATGGAGGGACGAGTGGGTGGCTTCCGTTGTCTCCACTGAGGATGATGCGGGAGGTTTCAAGGCAGGACCACGGGCAAAAACAAGGTATGTGTCCGATTATCTGATATATAGAGATTTCAAGGTGTATTTACGTGTATGTTTGTGTGTGTCTTTCCCCATCTGCCTTCCCTTCTCTATCTGTGTGTGTGTGGATCATCGTTTTTGTGTTCCTGCCTATCTATCTTGTATCTCACTCACCCCATATGTATGGGGTCATCATCTGCAGCACGCGTACGGTACGTTCCTCTCATCATCCACTTTCTTCTTCGAATGCCTTGGTTGCAGGATGATGAGGATGACCTGTTCAGCTCTCGTTCCACCTCATGCCAGCTCAGCACCTGCAACTGCCATGTCAGCTGCAGAAGCTGCCACGTCAGCAACCAGCGCAAGCGCTTCCCGTATCCTTCAAATCCATCTGCCATATTTCAGCTGCACGGTTAATCTCTTCCTCTTAATTCGTGCTCTGGGAGTTCGGTCAGATAAGGAGATTTTTGAAATGATTCTC